GGTTTTTTTAGTATCAGAATGTAATTGTTCTAACAATTTTGGACTAATAATCAAAAGATCACAACCAGCTAATTCTTCGCCTTCCCCTGTGTTACGGAATAAAGCACCCATAACAATAGTTTTTACAATAATAATAAATTTTAGTGACAGATTTTACACCTGGATCTTCTTTGGCTGAGAAATCTTGTCCTGTATTTTTCTTATACCAATCAAGAATACGATCAACAAATGGTGAAACCAAAGTTACGCCTGCCTCAGCACATGCGACTGCCTATTATATATGAGAGGAAGAGAAACAGGGAGCAAGAAAACAAACAAATATGTAAAAAGAATTTAATAATAACCTGAGGGAAAGAGAAAGTAAAGTGAGATTACAATGGATTCTTTCTTTCTCAAGTATTAAGCAGCTTTAATGCCTTCCCAAGTAGAAGCAATCTTGATTAATATTCTTTCCTTACCAATACCAGCTTCCTCATAAAGTCCAATCAAACAGTTAGCTTTAGCAATAGTCCCTTCAGTGTCAAATGATAAAATTGCATCTACTTCAGTTGAAACTCGCCCAGGAATAATTTTAAGAATTTCATTATCAAAATTAATCAACTATAATTATGTATTTGCGTGAGTTATATATATATATATATTAAGATATTATAAGTATTCTCCAATTTTACCAATTTATCAGTTGCTAATTCAACTTTTTTATCAATTGATCTATATAATAGATATGTGGAATATATTGTGAAATGATGAGCATAATTAGGTTTTTGTGTGGCTTGTAAAATCAAGAAAGGTTTGTTGTTGCATCTTGAGGCTTATACTTGGCAATCGTTCTTGTATAAATAGGATTAATTGATAAAAATTATGATTGGTGTTGGTTGAAGAATTTATTAATTTATTGAAAAAACTCTTACATTCAAAATAACCAGTGTCAGCAACAACTTTAGTGTATTGTTTAATTTGATCAAGAACAGAAGTCACGAACTCATGCAAACTTGTGTAGTAATTTCGAATTCTCTTTCATCTAAATAATTTTTTTTGTCTATAGTACACAGAAAACATTACAACTAATGAAATGAAGTAATCTTGCCCTGATTGCAACCCACTACGTCAAAACTTCTCACCATAATTTGGAATGATCAAGCCATAAGTTGTACTTCATGTGTCCTCTTTGCTTTTGAGCATTTATTAATAGAACACAATCCAGAACAAGTTCGGAATCTATCTCAAGTATTCAAGTATTATTTATTAAAATAAATTTAAATTTTTTTTTGTTGTTTATATAGTTAATTTTTTTAAATTTAACTGATGTCACATGATTTTTATTATAAAATCCGCTAATTCCAAATTTCTCTTTTTTACGGATATTTTGATTTAGCGGATAAATTTTTTGGACAAACTTATCCGCTGAATCGAGATTCACTGTGTATTTATTTATGTTTGTTTGACTTATCTGAGTATTCAAATTTATTCGACCAATAAATTCATAAACCATACAAGTGAAAAATAGCCAAGTTAACTCAATATCTTGTGTGACATACAATGTATATACACAATGAAAAACCTGGTGTATTTTATTGGTATCTCAGGCATTGGAAAACTTTTTTTGCTTATTATTATTATAGCAATCCAGATATCCTATCCATTTAAATTATACCCATGTGGACATCCTATCCATTTTCAAAAATCTTATTTGGATATCCTATTATATTCAAAAACCATATAACGGACTGACCTAGAGTCCCTTGGCCTATCAAATCTTTGAATTAGGAAAAGAATCATTTGAAATTACAGTCTAATCTCTCTATACTGGACCTTCAAAAACTCTATAATGAACCATGATTTTTTTTTTATTAATTAAATTTGCTCTGTATAATGAACTTTATAATTAAATTCTCTATTCTGTATAACAAGCTGCCTTTGGAAAATCCCTTCTCTTCAGTGTTGGCAATTTAACTGGCTCAAATCTTTTTTGAACTGTTGTTAAATAACTGGTTAATTGATTAAATAACTTGTGATCATTTGAACTTTGCTATCAGTTATTCAGCAATTATTTGCTTAATCTTGATACTCTTTTCTGGATGCAGAGTTAACAACTTAATTTCAGGAAAGAATAACATTTATTTACACCTTGGTTTAAAATTTTATCAATTCTGTACACAGAGAGACAGCTTAAAAGCCAATAGGAAATCATATTTACAATAAATGATATAGATGAATAATATTAAAAAACTATGGTAGTTTAGAAACAAACTCGTGCACATTATCTAACCAAATTTACAGATATTGGGTATGTGATGAACAATTCCAGTGATATCCAGGATGCCTAATGATTGGCTGATATTGCATTCGCTTTATCACTCGTGACAAAATCGATCATCAATCTTTTTTATATTAATTGATTTTTCTTTATATTTTGGTAAAACTTGATCAATTTGATTAATTTGAGTTCAATAAGTTAAAAGTTTAAGGCTTCTGTGATCTTGTCTGTGTCATTATTATTTATTATTATTATTTTTTTTATTTTTTTTTAAATATGAATGATAACATTTCACTTTATTAATAAGTCATTATTATACTTGCGGGTAAAGACTTGTTCTATATTTTCATTATTATTATAATTTAAAGAAATAATGTCTTTTGAAAGATTTTAACTGAAAATCTATTTGACAATGCAAACAATGTCATGGGAAACCATTGGAATCTTTCAACAAGTAATGACCCTAAGCATACAGCTAGAGATACTAAAAAACTTCTCACACAACACTGTCCAAAAATGTTAGATTGGCCATCAAATAGCCCAGATCTCAATCCAATTGAGAATTTGTGGCAAATTTTAAAGAGACATGTTTATACATGCAGCCCAAAGTATTTTGACATTGTCATAAAGTGAGTTACACATGTAGTAAGTAGGTGTTACACTTATGTTTTTAATAGTGAATGCTGTAATTAATTTCTACTTTCTACCATCAAAATTGGAATAATTTTG